GAATAGATAAAGAACTCAGCCAAGCACCAAATGGAGTGAGAAAACTGACAGAGAACGGAGAGCAAGGAGGGATTCATGCAGAGGTCCCCTACCAGCTAACACAGCGTGGATCCGCCATCTTGGACTCCTATCGGAGACCAACAAACAGCGGGTACGAGAAAGCAGCCTCACGGAGCTTCCAGCGGGGAGACAAAACCACCAGTAATTGGCGATATACGCTTTCCCACCCCCCACCCTTCTTCACCCTGACTCGGCCTCCTCTGCTGCCCCCGGCCACAGTCTCTTGACCTGGAAACAATGGCTGCTTGGATTCCACACACCCGAATGGGTGGCTCTCTGAGTGACATTTGCTGGCTGCTGGTGTTGCTTTTTTTCTGCCTCTTTTTATTTCTTCCCTGCCTCCCCCCACCTCCCCCTCCTTTCACTCGAGTACCTCGCTCCGTGCGCCATCTTTGCTTCTTCCTGAGGGGCTGCAGAGCTCCGGTAATTTGTGATATACGCTTTCCCACTCTCTACCCTTCTTCACCCACACTCGGCCCCCTCTGCTTCCCACGGAAACAATCTCTTGTCCAGAAACACCAGCCCGCACTAGCTGGCTGAGTGCCGTTTGTTGGCTGCTAGTGTTGCTTTCTTTTTTCTGCTTCTTTTGATTTCTTACTTGCCTCTCGCCACCTCCCCCTCCCTTCGCTCAAGTACCTGGCTCCGTGCGCCATCTTTGCTTCTTCCTGAGGGGCTGCGGAGCTCCATTCGAGTGTGGAGCTACTTCCTGGTTTGGGCTGCCGCGCTGGTGGGATCCCAGCGCTTTTGTTCGTTTATTTTGAATTGTTTGTTTGTTTTCTTTTCCTTTTCTTGAGTTGGGAGCCCTTTCTGGCCAGGCTGAGCTGCGTGGCAGACAGACTCCCCTTCAGCTTCCACAGAAGTGCAGAGGGATCCTGAGAGCATTTCTTTTTACGTTGGATTTTTTTTTTTCCTGTTTCTTTGGGGGCCTTTCTTGTTTTTTTTTTTTTAATTTGTTTTGTTTTCTCTTTCCTCTTTTTGTCTTTCTTCATTTCTCAGTTTCTCGTCTCTCTGTATCTTCCTTCTCTTTCTGTTCCCTGAATACTTGGCATTGTATACCTCTACGCCTTCTAGCCAGGCTGTACTGCAACACCTGAGAGTGACTTCCCCAGACCTCATAGCTGCACCGGTGGGATCCCTGGGAACTTTTTGGTTCTTTAACCTTTCTGATTCTTATTTATTCATTCTTTTCTTTTCTTCCTC